ATTGGACATTCTTTCCTGCTTTGTCCAAGATTAGTTGACCATAGAGTTGAGGGTCCATTTCTGGGCTCTCTATTCTGTTCCACTGATCTATGTGTCTGTTTTTGTGCCAGTACCATACTGTCTTAATGATTACAGCTTTGTAATAGAGCTTGAAGTCTGGAATTGTGACAGGCCATAGAATTTCTTATCTAATGTAATTTTTTATTTCAAGTTCTGCTCCTAGCCTACTTGAAATGACATTTTGCAGACATAAGATATTGATTTCGTGTTAGGAAGGAGGGCTTTCTGATGGTAAATTTTCACTGGTTTGGGCAGCATATTTTGCATTGGAATGAACAGACTAATAAATGGATTATGAGGCTATCAGTTTTCTGCCAAGTTTCTATCTTGGATTAAGATGGTGGAATGATCGTACAAGTAAATCTTGTTTCTTCTACCTTCCAAAGGTCTTAAAATAACATACATGATAATAAAAAGGACTTAGGGTGGGCATATTTAGCAAAAAAAAAAAAAAATTGAAAAATACAGGACACCCAGTTAAATATGGATTTCAGGTAAACAAAGAATAATTTTTTAGTAGAAATATGCCCTAAATGAAGTATTTTGGACTTACTGCATTTTATCTGGCAACCATAAAAAGAATAAATCCATAACACTGTACCATTAGTGGATCATAGCTATCAAGAATTCTTGGATTGCGTCAGATTGGATTTGTCCTACATTTCTACTTCTAGGTATTTACCCAATAGAAATGAAAAAATATGTCCACAGAAACATCTGTACAACAATATTCACAGCAGCTTTATTTGTAATAGTCAAAAATCTAGAAACCACCAAATGCTCATCAGCGGTCTTATGGATAAACAATTTGCATTTCTAACAAGTTCCCAGGTTTTGCTGATGCTGTCAGCTCAGGCACCGTAACTGGAGAACTACCGTTCTAGAGAAATCTATAAAAAATAGATCAGAGCAGAAAGAAAAAGGTTAAAAGAAACTCCCAGCTCAGAGTTAGGATGACTACAAGTCAAGAGCAGTAGGGGGCTCTGAGATACTTAATTATCGGGATCATTAATGACAATATAATTAATTATAGACCAGCATTCAGAGTAGCAAAGCCAGTCATGTCTTTGACCCCACCATCAGCACCACCATGGCTAGTAGCAGCAGAAACCTTAAACCCTGAGATAAAACCCCTAAGAGAATATCCCTTCAAATAGTGTGGAGAGGGATAGTGATGTGGGGGGTGGGGGGAGGGATAGAGGGCTAAGAGAGATAAATAAAAAATTCCAAAATGGGCTCAGAAGGAATAAAATATCTAAGTCATCTTTGCTGGGGTGAAAAATTCATTGAAGTCCAACAGTGCCAGGCAACGAGAGCAGGAGGTGAGAGCCGAGAAGGTAAGGTGTCTTCAGCCTGTCTTCTCCATGTCCAAGTCCCTGGAGTGGAGTCTCTTGGTCAAGGTCTTACCCACTTAAGTGAAGATCACAGCCACCCTGCCTTTTTGGGGAGAACCCATGGGGGGAAACGAGTCCCAGCAGCTGTAGAAAGAGCCCATGCCAGTACACCAAATCATAAAAATATGAGTAGACAACCAGGGATTCCCAGGCATCTGGGGATCACCAGACGTCAAGACTAAGAAGGAACAAGATGAACAAATGACCAGAGGAAGCAGAAATAACTCCGGGAGCAGAGGAGAACTTGAAAGAAATACAAATTTGTGTCAGTAGGAGATTATTTGAGAGGTTATCCCATGCATCAAACAAAAACCCAAATAATCATAGCCTAAGACTGCCAGAGAAACGGAAGAAAAACTAAACATGGCCGAGTACTGTGTTGCTTACTGTTTTCCTCCTGTTTTCTTTGTAAATCGTAATGGCTGAGTGCAATAAAATATGCACAAAAACTCTGAAATAGGAAAAGATGTGACCCTGCCAAAGCAGAGCTGTGGGTTGGCAGGTGGTGCAGCCATGGGATACCTCAAATTGCTCGTTAAATTGAAATTGTAGGAAATTCCCAATTCGGTGTGGGAAAGGCATTTTAGGGGTGGCATAGATAATGTGTGAAAATCGACTTGTAGAAAACTTGAATATGTGAAAGTTAAGGACCATCTGTGTCCACATTCCACTTGGCTTTCCCCAGAGCTTAGTGATATAAATCCTTCAGCTGAAATTCAAGGTCACCATAACGATAACTAATATCTATGTATCACTTTACCACCTAGTTTACAAAACACTTTTACTCATTATCCTGCTCAATCCTATCCCGGGAGGCAATGAATATCCTTATTCTACCCTTGAGGGAGCAGGGGCAACCAGCAATTTTTATCTTCCTTCCAGGAGATATAGAGACTAGTCAGAAATGCAGTTTTGCAAATTGTTTCCCAAAGGGTGTTCTGCATGCAGATTGTTGATCCCATAGGACAGTGGTTCTCAGACTCTAGTGAGCATCAGAATTGCCTGGATAGCTTGTAAAAAAGTACAGATTGCCCCTTCCCTCCCCCCCCCCCACCCCCACCCCCACCCCCACCTCCCAGTTTCTGATTCAGTAGGTCCGGGGTGGAGCCTGACAATTTGCATTTCCAACAGCATTCCCAAATGACACTGCTGTTGGTCCAGGGCACGCACTTTGAGAACCACTACCATAAAATATTCTCTAAAGAAGGGGTTCCATGGTCAAATTCAGAGATATTTACTATCTAATAGAATACAAAATAGCTTCAGCTCTGAAAGGGAAAATGTAGGAAAAAAGAGTAGTTGTACTAAACTAATAAGATAGTGAATAATTTTTATCTAAAAGTTCTTTTTAAATGTCATGAATATCTTCTAAACTAAAATGGTGGGGGAGGATATAATGTACTGAAAAATAAAATGGAAGATCATCTACAAATCTTAATGAAAAATTCTTAATGGTTTAGGAGAAAGTTTATGATGAACGATGTGATCTTAACCATAGACCTTAAAATAGATTGATCTTTTTCTGTGTGGGGGGGGTGGAGAGAGAGAGGAAGACAGTGGTTATCTTTGGATTTTGAGCATATGCATGAATTTTAGTTTCTTCTTTGGACTTTCTACAGTATGTGCATATTATTTTCACAGTCAGGAAAATAAATATGTAATTTTTTTTAAAAGGTGCTTACACTCTATAGGCATCTCAATTTTAAAAAGATCCCTATGGTTTTTTTTTAAGACCACCTTTAAGCACTCTCTCTGATAAAATTACACATTTCTTATAACATAATTCATACAAAAGGCAATTTGGGGCTATTTACTAGTACAAAAAAATCAATGGGGATCAAATTACCACATTTCATTGCATAGAGGCTGTAAGGAAGGCACGTTTAAACTAGACTGTTCTTTTCTCTTCTTTTTTCTTGTTTCCCATAATAATCTAATTTCTCCTTACCTACTAGTCTTCTGTATTTCACTCAACTGTGTTTGAAAACTGCCCCAAAGTTACTGGCCAATTTTTGATATTCATACATAACAATAAATGTCTTGTTAATTTCAGGAAAAGAGGAGTAAACCCATGCCTATTGTGATACGCTGATAGGAACAACCACGTGCTAGAAGACTGTTCCTGCAGGACAAGTTCATACTATACAAGTTCCATTGCACGGAAAATATTCCCCCCGAGAGAAAGAATAAAGAATAAACCAAGAGTTCAAAATTAGCTGAATTTAAAAACATCTCCCAGGAAGAAGACCTTCAGCGTTGCCCTGGCGCAACGGAGACAGGCCCTGTGGTTGGAGATATGTGTAACACACCGACTTACTGTGACCTAGGAAAGGCTGCCAAGGATGTCTTCAATAAAGGATATGGATTTGGCATGGTTAAAATAGATCTGAAAACCAAGTCCTGTAGTGGAGTGGAATTTTCTACTTCTGGTCATGCTTACACTGATACAGGGAAAGCGTCAGGCAACCTAGAGACCAAATATAAGGTCTGTAACTATGGACTTACCTTCACCCAGAAATGGAACACAGACAATACTCTCGGAACAGAAATTTCTTTGGAGAATAAGTTGGCTGAAGGGTTGAAACTGACTCTTGATACCATATTTGTACCGAACACAGGAAAGAAGAGTGGAAAATTGAAGGCCTCTTATAAACGGGATTGTTTCAGTCTTGGCAGTAATGTTGATATGGATTTTTCTGGACCAACCATCTATGGCTGGGCTGTGTTAGCCTTTGAGGGTTGGCTTGCTGGCTATCAGATGAGTTTTGACACAGCCAAATCCAAACTGTCACAGAATAATTTTGCCCTGGGTTATAAGGCTGCAGACTTC